AATGCTATTTGTAATGAAGAACAGAACTAGTTGCCTTAATTTTGTTGATAAGGTGCCCCGTTTGCTATTTAAATTATAACATGAAAAAAACTTTTTAAAACTGTTAAGTAAAGCTTCATCAAGTATTCCAACATTTTAAATACTTTTTGCTCTACAAGCCATATCCAAGAGTGATTTCTTTTCGCAAAGAAAGCTGAATGAATCAGAGGGCTCTGCACAAGGACAGAAGAGGATCTGTGTGGTTTTCAGCGTGCACTGAGGCCATCAGGCTAAACCGTGGCTTTGCTACAAGCAAGACACTGCTCTGAGAAACAGATGAAGAAACAGATTGCAACTCGCAGACTGACAATCTGCTTGCCGCGTTTCTTATACTTTTGAGGAGAAATAACTTGGGCCAGGCCTAGACATAGTGTAGCTGCACTAAGTAAGGCTAAGCAAAGAATGGAGCCATTCCCTGCCACAGTCTGCCAAACGTAGAAAAGGAAAAAACCAGCTCCAGGCCGGGTGCTCCGCCTTCCCATGCTGTGTAATGGTAGCAGCCAACAAAGAGCAAAAAAGGGCCAATTCAACCTCTCCTACTATGTGTGCCAGTGCACATTAATTAATATTCAATCCCACAGTCCTGTTAAAAATCCAAAGCTCTTTTAACATGTACAGTTTATAAAGACTAAAAATTAGCATCTAGTCAAGAACTATCCAGTCTTTAGCTTGTAACATATTAGTAGGGTAAATAGGTATGTACATGACCACACGTGGCAAAATGAGATAAGGTCTCTGAGAGACAGTAAAACCTTCAAAGTTATTTTTCCTAATAACACTGAAAGAAATGAAACCTGTCTCTATCCAACAATGAAAAACTAGTTGGTCAATAAAAACATGTTATGTATACACAGGTAATCAAATTAAGTAAATCAAAAATACCAGGTTTGTTAGAAACATTTTACTCTTTTTACGTGTTAAATCCTTTAATGTGCATTTAAGAATTTGGGATACAAGAACTGAATGATACATTCTGTTAGAGGGACTGTGGGATTTTACTGTCAAGTTTTTGTGTTTACATTGAAATAATATAAAAGCCAGTGAAACTGTGTAAAAATCTGTGAAAGTTCTCTTTGCAATCTAAAAAAAAACCCTAATTCTAAACTTAAAAAACTTTTTTTTTTAATATGAAGCATAGTTAATATACCAATGTATAACAGTTCCAGACAGTGGAATCCCAGAAGAAACAGAGAAAATAAACTTATATTTCAGTCTTCTAAACTCTGAATGTTTTATGAGGCATCTCAAAATATTCTTGTTTCATAGCAAAAGATCCCAGTCCTGCACTAATGTTTGGGGTTGGGGACTGTAGGCAACACAGACGTAACAGAGCTTTAGATGTCCTAGTGTATCACACCTGAAACTTAGATGAAACTCCACAGTTCGTGGCTCTTTGTTTAATTCCATCAGTCCAATCACATGCCTCAGAAACTCATGGGCATCTAAACCAATAAGTACCCAGGTTTAAGCAACTAAATTACTCTATTCCAAGTGTTTACTTAGGTTTCTTGCTCTAAGAGGTTGCAATGCCTTATGCTGACTTTTGCACCTGAGGAATTCACCTTCAGTATATTCACCCACAATCTCTATGCTACAGAACAAAGTATGGAGGTAGGGGAGCACAAACTGACCCAGAGCCTTTCAGTGCTTCTCCTGAACTGAAACAAGTTACAGAGTCCACACAGTCAAACATCACTGATTTGTTGTCATTGTTTTAGATAAATCAATTTGGGCATGAGGTATTATATAGTGACTATTGCAGATATCTATGTGCATATGATGTCTTAATTAAGCATATGTAATTTTTATGCTCTTAGCACATACTCTAAGCATGTGTTTAAATCCTCACAGGAATTCATTCATACGTTTATACATGTGTTTAAATAGCCTTCTGGAACAAAGCTGTTTTCCTGAACTGTTGTAATAATTTAATATAATGACTTAGGAGTTAGAAACCAGCCCTTTAAAAATTAGATAATTTAGCCTGCAATTATCATCAATTAATAGGTCCAACTATAGAACCATACAAAGGTTTGCCCTATTTTCCCCCCAAGGACCATAAAATACACTAAGTCAAAAAAAAAATGTTATAAAATTGTAAATAGGTCACCAGAGCTCAGGTAGTTTGTTCCTTGGTTCAGATAACAATCAATGCATATTTGCCAATTCATGAATATTAAATTTCATTCACAAGGCACATCATTACTGCAAAGCCAGTTTCCACCAAAAAAGGCATCTTGCCATGGAGAGTTCAGCCACACAAACTGAGTTGCCTCTAGCACTTTGAAGAAATCCAAAGGGAAAATGTACTACTACTATGTAGACCAATGTATAAGGCACAGTATAAGTCCATTTGTATGCTGAAAAAGTTGGACTTTTCCAACCTAATGCTAGAAACAGCATTGCGAAAAGGAGAAAGAAAAAGCAACATGGACCTTTCTCACCATGATGGGATACATAAAGTTCTGCGGAACCATTTTAGAAACTGAGCATTAATTACAACCACTGAAAGAGCAGGAGATATTATCAAACACAATGACTCCTAAAAATTACATAAAATGAAGAAAAATATGTTCCTATATTTTTTCTATTGCTTTCTTCTTATTATAACTTTCAAAATCAGTTTTTACTCTAATAAACTGCATGCAAAAATACCAGTTAGCTCTACTAGTAAGCTTCTTCAATAGAAGATTGAAGAATCTTCTTCTTCAGATCCCCTCCAACCTCAAATGCAAACTTTTATACTCTACATTTATGGCTCTTCTACAACTTTACTATTTTCAGCAAGTGTTGATTTCCTAAAAAAGATCAAGATGTTAGTATAACTCTCTTTCAGTACTTCATTTTGTTTCCATGTGTCCTGTACCAAGACAGAGCCAACCTTAATCTTGCATGTCATTCTGGACTTAATTCATCATTAATGGCATTAGTTAGATCAGGGAACATCTCCAAAATAAAAAGGTATGTTAAAATACCTGGGACATATAATTCTTTCTTGAAAACACTATAATGCATAGTAGTTTCTACTTTGAGCACTCCTGGTGAACCCTCCCAAAGGTGTTATGTTGAATAGTGTGTTAGATTGTGAACATTTATGCATCAATCCATTACTGAATTCTAAATTCTTCCTAAATTAGAAATACTTTAGCATACAGCTAAAGTATGCAGCACAGCTAAAAGTTCACTTTTAATTTTTGAAGTTACATTAACAGAAGCCATAGACATTCTTTACAACATTTGTAAGAAATATCATAAATGTAACAGTACATGTTTTATTTTGCTTTACTTCTCTTTAAGCCAAGGGCACTTTGGGGTGGGGGGGAAAGCCAGTTGACTTTACAACCTAAAATACTTAAATTCTGAGTAATAAACAATGACTGTCGTGACCCATCTGTATATACAAAACACATGGCTCATGTGTTCCATATACACAATGTAAACCACTGCTGTTTAATAAAGAAAGGAAAGCACAAGCAAATACGCTCCCTCTGGATATACAGAACTTACGATACACAACATGAAAGTAACAGAGCAAGAATACAGCACAAGCACCAGCCCTGAAGAGAGTCACTACACAAATCATGCAGTAGAACTAGATTATAAATGGCTAGTCATTGTACTGAAGTGAACTTACTTCTGTACTTAGAAAAATGGGTATCACATTTTAAGAAGACTCATATTTTAAATTCAACCAACTATCTGGCATACTCCTTGCTAAGCAGCCTACTTGAGTACAGTACAAAAAGCAATCACATGGTGTGTTTTGATTTTGGTCAATGAGTTAGTAATTCAACAATGGTGCAATACCTAATTGAACTGGGACACCACAGAACTTTGGTAAACTATGAATATCTGAACTGTTGTTGTTTACAGCACTAAAGCCAGCTTTAAAATAGCAAGACTTTATAATAGAGTTTAAACAGGTATACTTCAGACAGTTAACACTAAATTTTCCCTGACAGGTGACACAGAAATAATATAAAAACATTGACAAGAAGGCACTGGCAATAGAATCATAAATATATTTTTGTTTAAATCCATTTCCATTGCACTAGGCCTTTCTTTCTTTACCAAATAAACAACCAAACCAAACCTCCAATTTATTCAAGTTCTAGGTCAACAGTGTTTTGGTTCATTTTGTCTTCTTTTGCTATGCCTAATGTAGTGTTGAACACTAGCACTGGACTGGGTCCTGCAGACCTTCTCTGGCTTGAATACAGTCAAATGTCATAAATGATTGTGACAATGCTCTGACTTAAGAGCATGATGAAACCTAACATCAAAGCTATGCTGTAGATCGCCTGAGATATGACTAATAATGACTAAAGTTAAGCCCTTTCACCCAATATGGCCAGTAACCCAGTTTCACTCTACTAAGCCCAGGTACCTTGAAAGTAATGCTGCTCCATAAGTTTTACATCTCCTCGGCCTCGATGATTTATCTCCCACAAAAAAGAGATCCCCTTTGTTTTGTAGGCTCATTACTATGGCATGCCTAATTTCTTCTGCAAGTGAGGGCTGTAACTATGGGTGAGGGTATGGGGTGAAGCTACGTCTTTTTACACAGACTTCCACAATGCAATGCCTTGTCTGTGATAAACATTTTCATCTGTGATTACAAGGAGCAATTTAAAGATGGAAATATCAAAGGAAAGGTAATCAATACATCGTACATATTAGCACAGCAGTCAAAATATAAGTTCTGCACCACAGCTAGTAACAGAATGAACACATGGACCTTACAGACGCATTGAAGGCAGGAAATTCAGTACCACTATATTAAGAAAATGACTGCCTGTGACTTTAAACACTGGCACGCTTGTACTTGGCGAGAAAGTGAACGATTTATTGTTACTATGAAGGATGCGGGAATGGAAATGAAGATGAGAGGGGCAACGATGATGATGATACAGAAGAAGAGGTTAATATCCCCAGCATCTGATGGGGAACGATGTCCCTACCTCAGTAAGCTGGATAAGGGGATAGCTCCAGATCCACTGCCAAGGATCCCTCCTTTCCTCCCAGAGAGGAGTTTCTCCACCAGAGCCACATTCCCAGTGCGAGCAGCTTCCAGCAGTTCCTGATCCTTCCCCATAGTCGGAAACCAAGCAGCCCCCCGCGAGAGAGCTGTACCCCGGGCCACAGCGGCCCCCTCCCTCCACAGAACGACCTCCCCTCCCCAGACCCTGCCTCAGAGCAGAGCACGGCAGATTCCTGCAGTCCCTTCCAGACCAGCAGGAGCAGCAGCAGGAGGGAGGAGGAGAATCACCTCCTCCCGGTTTCACTGGATCATTTCTGGGTGGAGTGTGGAAGGTGAAGGGGGGCGGCGGGAGGGAGGGAAGGAGGACGAGGCCAATAAAGAACCTCCCCCACACTGCCATGCACACACAGCCCCGGCCCGGAGGATGGGGCGGGGGAAGCGGGCAGTGTTAGCCGCCGTGCCGTGTCGGGCTGACGAGGATAACGACCCTCCCGGACGGGCGACCAGCCGGGCGCACGGAAGCGGAGAGGGGCGGCCGGAGGGAGGGAGGGAGAAGGCGCAGCCCTGCCTTGCCAGGCCCGTTGCTGGGGAGACGCGCCTGGCGCGCTCCCAGTGGCTGCCCGGGCGCGGCGCCCCCTCCGCCCGCTCCGGCGGCCCCGGCGCTCCGCGGGCCCCGCTCCTCCGCCCTGCTGGCCCCGCCCGGCCCGCGCCCCACTGCGGAGCCGGGAGCGCCGCCCGCCCCGCCAGGTGCATCGGCCGCGCCCCCCGCGGCGGCAGCGAGCGCTTGGCGGCGGCGGGGCAGCGCTGCGGCGGTGGCGCCTCCCCGCGCTGCGGAAGGTGACGGGAGGCACCCGGTGCCGGGCCGAGGATGGCTGGGGGCGAGGATGGGGGGCGGCCTCGCCGACGAGCCCCGGGGGCGGAGGGCGGGCGCTGAGGGACACCCGCCCCGGGCCGAATTGGCGGCAGGTGCGGGCGGGGTTGGTGGGGTCACGGCGCTGTGCCCGTGTGTGTGTGTGTGCGAGGAGGTGGCTCGAGCAAGGATTCCTCCCCATCCGGGGACGCGGCAGGACGCTCCGCACGGACACACCGGCCGGCTTCCTTGAGCGAAACGATGTAGGCAAAAAGGAAAACCCGGGCCCCGCGGAGGTCAGGAGCGAATCGGGCAGGCGGGACTGCTGGCACCGCCACAAGCCAGGATCGTGGCTTTTCAGTACTTCCACGGACGGGAGGTATAACTGAATATGTTTGGTATCAGATCCACTCATCCCTTCTGGAGTTTCTGGTTCTGTTACAGAGACCTTTTAAATTGTATGACTTTTCCAGGCAGCAAAATTAATCATTCCTTGTGGATACTGGGTTTTTTCAAGATATGCTGAAAATACTCGGTGCTGGCCAAGCCATAGGCACATCCTTGATAAATGCATCGTTTGACACTGTGCATATGTGAAACCCAAATTACAGCCCCGGGTTCCTGTTTCAGTTTAGTGATTTGAGTAGGTAGGACCATAGGTACAACAGGCAAATAAATTATCATCCCTTACTGGTCCCCCACATCAGTGGCATCAGTGGCATTCTCCCATGAACTGTGCTCACAAGAGGTAAAGTCCGGCAATGGCAAAATAACAAGGATTTTAATGTTATGTTTTTAGAGAGTGTTTATTACTACAGACCTACAGTACATTTGAGACAGTGGAAAGATTCTTGTTGATTTCACAAATTATTTGTTTTAATCCCTATCAGTAACACTTCTGCAGATGTTTTTGTGTTTTTATTAGCTAATTAAAAATTTTTAGTATCTTACAAGTAGAAATTTCTTTCTGGGATCTGATTTTCTCTTACAAAGGATAAAAAAAATAATCCTTATGGAGACCTATCATTCCAGTACAGTTGTCCACAGTGAAGTATATTTTAGCTACAAAATGTAATTTACATAGTTTGGAATTTTCAGGACATGAAATTATGTCTTCTCCGATATTGTCAGCAGGACACAGAACTGAGCACATGCATAAAGTTATTAGGTGGAGAGATTCTATAACTACAGTCTTTCTGATTGAAAGAGTTTGATATAAATAATTTAAAGTATATAAATTGTATAAATTTATATACTTAAAAAAATAAGTATAAAATTACTTGATATAAGTAATTTTAAGGCCTGATTCTGTGTTCACAAATGTTTTATTATGGTTTAAATAAACAAATGTATAATCACAGGAATTAGGATTTATAGTTTAAGTCCTTTGTCACAGCAGAGTCACAGTGGAAAACAGTAATTTAAAACTTGACTAAAAGGTTGTATCTTGTTACCAGCCACTTGAGCTTTAACTAGTTCCAAAAAAGTTAGCCTTAAACTAAGAAACCCCCTGCATTCTGAAGCGTCTTGATGTCCTCTGTTAAGGTAGCTGTAATTTTCCTGTATTTCTCACTTGCTTTTGATTTTGTGTGCAATCACATGCATTGCTTGATAAATACCTTCTGACATGCGTGCTCTGCATGAACCGATTTCTTCAAGTTTGCTGAGAGCCTCTGAAGAGGTGCCAGTATTCCATGAAGAGCTAATCATAAGGCAGGCGTATGTGCATAAACCTGCACATTTATGAAAAATTAGCTTAGAAGCAGATACTAAGGAAAGACTCGGGTCTTTAGGAATTTGTATTGTTGATGTGGTTGGATCAGCAGATGGCAAATATGACTCAGTATAAACGTTACATAATTCTTCTTGGGGAAAACAAAATCTCAAGACTGTGCTCTAACTGAAAAGATCATCCAGAAAGCTGTTGAAGAACAGTATGGAGAATCGGGATAGAAATATCAACGGAGCAGATGCATGCAGTAGCCAGCAAATTGAGGAAGATTTTTATGAATGTAGTGAGGCTCAAAACATACCCCAGTAAACTCATCAGCCTAGTGTCCAATGAAAAACTGCAAAGGCTAAACAGAGGATTTAGTTTCATTAGCAAATAGAGCAGAACACAGTTATATCAATGTGAAAAGGAAAAAGGAATGTAGGCAGCACTATTTAATGGAAGGATTAAACATGGATAAATTCTAAGGGCTACCAAAGCAAAGAATTCAGAACATGAGTTGGTCTGTTTCCAGAGATGAAATTGATAGTGGACTGTAGTAAGTAAAAAAAAAATCAAGACTGAGTTGAAGGTAAATGGTCAAACCCATTAGATTAAGTAGGCTCCTTTGTGTTTTAAATGTTTTACATCTTTGTTCCTGGCAATATCAGGACAACACTGTGGAGAGTTAAAAATTTTTTGTATGATAAATATATGAACTAGACGTAGAAAGTGGAGACATAGCTTTATAATTTGCAGCAGTTACAGATGAGAGAAATAATTTGTAAAACAGCCAAGAGATCTTTCAAAACATTGTATGCTTTTTGAACAGCAGAATTTTGATTCTATGATTTTAGTATTTTTGAAGACATTTTAAGTTATGACCACTGCAGCTGTCAGTGTCTAAGTGGCATCACACTTTCAATCTTGAAATTCCTCTTAACACAACATATGCTTTACCTTCTGTTTTCTTCCATTTTCTAAAATACCAGAGAGAGTAGTTAGCCTACCTAGAAATTCTTTAACTGGTTTGTCATTTGAAAGGACTGGAAGTGACTGTAATAAGCAGGGAGTTTCCTTAATGTTTTACAGTGCAACTATCACTTAGCTTTGTTCTCATACGGGCGTGACAACTTCTTCATTTCTTCCTCCTGCAGTCTCCCAGACATAAAGGCAAATTAACTCCCAGACTTAAAGGCTTTCTGACATTCTGTGACTTTCCCCTCTCTATTTTCAAGCAGAAGCATAGGAGGAGTATGAAAAACTGAGTTGCAAGTATTGAAAAAAACCCTAAATCTGTGATATTAAAAAATAGTTGTGTAGAATAGCAAATATACTAACATCTTATTTCAGGACTATCTATTATCAATTCACACTTGTAAAGATTAAGGAAGGTCTAAGATTCCTATTACAAGTTCTGAGGGATATTCTGCAAGAGAGCTCAAAATGCTGGAATACCATCAGTTCTGTTTGATGGTATAAAGTAAATTAGCATTAAATAGGCCTGATTATTATTCTAATTTTTTTACACCCATGGTAAGTCAGGGACAAAGACTGCAAAGTTGCCCAAGAGGAAGTACTATTTTTCATGCACCTAGATGGCAAGAATTTTTCAGTCTTGATATTGCCTTTTGCTCTTTATGGTATATATATATATAGTGTAAAAAAGAAGCTGTGAACTTCAAACAGCCATGACTGTATTTGTGTTTGCACTGCTTATCTAGGAGATGTCTAAACATCAGGCTCAGAGGCTAAGTCCAAAATGGAGGTCCCAGGAGCACATCTGAGCTCTTGAGGCCAGGCGTGATTGCCCACCATGTCCTGGTTCCCTGCCAAGGTGAAACCCAGACACACATCAGCCTTCCTCTGAAGGCCCTCCTCAGGGATAGGCTCAGAAGGGAGATGGCACAGTGGACATATCTTCGGTTTAGATAACTGGGACACACCATAATACTCACATGATGCTTTGTTTAGCTCTCACCACTGAAATATGCAAAAGGACTTGCATCCTCCCCCACTGTAAAAGAAAATTATAGAAACTGAAGGTACTAAGCCTAACTCACGAGGGATATAAAAACATCAAGGGTGCTATGGTCTCAAAAGAGTGCGTGGATTCTTGGACTCACGAGGTTAAGTAGAAGCTAAAGTAGCGTGTAAAGAAAAAGCCATTTTTGATGACTTACCCGCAACAATCCTGTCTCTGACCATACAATTCTGACTAGATCACATTTTCTCTAAACACTTACTTCCTTTCAGGCATGTTGTAAATTTGCAATGGAAAAGAATATGCCAGGAAATGGTCCCTTAATGACAACAGCAGGATGCTGTCTCAGCATGTGTGCTGACCCCACAACATCATTCTTATGGGGCTCTGAACACACTAAAAAAGGGCAAGAAATTAAACTGTTATTTTGTCATGCAGCCACTGACCTATAGAGTCATCTGAATATACCATGGGAAGTGTGCTGCATTCCCGAGGGCTGAAATGTCCCACTGCTGGAAAGTCACAAGCACACACAGACTGCAGGTTGGGTCAGCACTGGAGAGCCGAACCTCCAGGATATGTGATGGGATAGTGCTGACAGTAAGGCAAATTCATCTGCCGTGCCATTTCCAGTGCAATTGGAATTTTGCTTTGATGGCAGATGCAAAGGTTAACTCGTATATCTATACATATCTTTACATGTATTTCTTGTGTGACAGCAGGTGGGATTAGCAGTATGTTTATTCATCCAATCCTTCTGCTCTGTGCTAGGTTTACACCAGTTTGCTATCAAAATATGCCTGAGACTATTTTTCATGCATTAGAGAGAAATGCACAATCAAATGTGAATACAAGTTGAGAAGAGCAGCATGCTGATTAGATGCCCCAATCCAGTGTGTGCTGACAGATATAGTACAGTATTAAAGCTTTGCCTGTGCTGCTTAATGCACAACTTATTGCATAAAAAAATAACTTGTTTCTACCTTTGATGCATTGCAACCCCTTTCGGACTTTAAAATATTTTCCCCTTCTTATCTTCCCTTTGAGATGTGTACAACATTGCCTACACATCAGATTTTGACTGCCTGAAAGAAGGATCATAGAGAAGTCTCAGCTGCAACATGCAAGTGATGAGGGACCACAACTGCAAGTACAGACAGCTGTTAGAATTGTGCACAAGTGTTATCCTTGCTCTCTGTCAGCATCCAGGAAAGCACCACCAGGGGACTGGTGCACTGTAAGGCAGTAGTATAGCTGGAGGTATTCTGCCAGGGGGTTCCATTCTGGTTTTGTCTCTTCTAATAGCCATTATGTATTAATATATAGTGGTAAATCACTTCTCATAATTAATATAAACGGTTGAGCAAACACTCATACATCATACATTCTTCAGGTGTTTGTGCTTGTGGATACACATTGTGATGACCAATAAGGCAGGATGTATTTGAAATTTTAACCGTGCTGCTGTGCAACACATAGCTTCAGACCTCACTGGGTCCAGAAGAGAGCATGGTGAGTGGAAATGCATGGTGCATGCAGAAAAAAATAGAGTATATATAGGTAACGATCTGGGAAGGCTCATAACTGTCTATGTATACTTAAAAGATGTAACTGTCAGACTGAGAGCTGGGCAGTAAGAGGTGTACAACTAGGAAGAATGGGAAGATGCTTGAAAGGAGAAATATATGACAGATAAATTTATGATTAATATCACAGTGGGAATTAACATGGAACCAAATGGACACAGCACTCTTTTTTCTCAATATCCAGTGGATATAGCATTGTCAGATATATGAGGAAAAACAGTCTTCCACTGATTCTCTTACTAGCTTTAATTTACCAAATCCTTGCAAATTCTAGCTTTGATGCTTATTCTTAACACAAATGATGCAGGCAGCTAACTTTGCACTGGATTCTTGGGTCTGACCAGGGTTTTTTCAGTCAACATAACTATTTGTGGTGGACATTTCAACTACCAGGCCAAGTCCAAGGTGTTAACTGAAGTTACCATCCCATAAGAAAAGGGTTTGTTGAAGCAACTAACTAAAGAAAAATAACTTGCCTGGACCAAATTCAGATCGCCAAATACTCTGCAAAACCTCAAATCTAATACTCATGAAATTAAAATGGTGAGGTGCAAGCTATTGCTTCAATTGGCCTTGGCACTAGATGAGTGTAAGGTAGCAAATGTGATGCTAATGCCTCTTAAGGAACTTGAAGGGGGAGAGTTGGAGAACTACTGAGTCTGATTTCCATGCCTGGCAAATTGGTAGACATCTTCACAATAGTGAAGATTCAGTACAGCTTTTGGAGAATCAAGTCATGTCTCATGTTTCTATTAGAGTTCTTTCGTGGAGTCAAAGAGCATATGGAAAATTGCAATTCAATCAATAGATTGTATTTAGCTTTCCAAAAAGCTTTTGACAAGGTCCTTACAGAATACTTTTAAAGAAACCAAATTGTTATTAAGAGGGATAATTCTCTTGTGAATGGACAATTGGTTAAGGGAGGGAAAGTAAAAAGGAAGAATAGCCAATTTTCACAACGGTGAGAGGTTGTCAGGACAGCCATGGAGAGGTCTCTCCTAGGACCTGCACTGTCCAGCAGGCTCATAATAACAATTTGCTAGCAAAACAGCAGGTTTCAGAATAGTTTGGACTAAAACTGAGTATGGAAGAGTTCATTGTTATAGTAGATAGTAAAACAGAAGGTGGAATTCAATATTGACAAAAGAGGAATAATTCTCTAGTGGAGGGAGATTTTGGATTCCCCTTTTTCAATTCCAAAACTGCTGTTACATCTCCGTCATCTTGAATTATTTGGGACAGTTCTATAATGATGTCCATTTAATGCTATATGGTAATCAAAATGGCAAATAAAATCATTGGGAATTGCTAGGAAAGGACATGAGCATGTATAAAACCACTGAGTTTGTCCTGTATCAAAAACATTACATCAGTACTAGGCAAGGTACAGTAAAGGAGAAGAGGTATAATCAGATGTATAGTATGTACAGCCTTCATAAAGCCTAAATAGACTGCGCCACTTCGGGTTTACAAAAATTATAACCATAGGAAGATAGAGGTATATAAAATAAGTGATACGAAAAAGTTAAATATAAAACAATTATCCATTATTTTTCCTAAACAAGAACTAAGAAATCACAGTGGTGAGGAGACAGACTTAAACCACATTAATGTACTGTTTTCGCTGAAATATTTTAATTTAGAATAGGCTTAGGGTTGCTTTGTATTCCACTTGGAAGCGTGTGCTCTTATTTTGATAAATGATATTTTAGCATAGAGACTGTTACGTATGTGTGCACACTGATAGCAACACAGCACAAATAATAGGTATGTAAGCTTTGCTTATAGTCTTGCTAATCTGTCTTATCTCAGGTTACTGCCTTGTATAAGAATGTAGTCTTCATATGTAAGTTAAAATACACAGCACATTGTTTACTGTGGTTTTGTGCAGTAAATGCACAACCGCACAGTGACTCTGATGTTAAGAGGACTGCTGCTATCTGCCAAAAGGAATAATTAATATCAAATTTGTCAGAGATGGCGATTTTGTGAAGCTGATACTTTGCTCCTAGCACAAGATTAGGGTCCTTATATATTTTATTCCGTTAGCCCAACAGTAAAAAGCTTCTTCATTCTTAATTACTTCTTCAAGCCCCACAAAACAACATTCTAGAGTGTTTATTAAAATTTGAAAGCTACTCCTGCACTGCCTAGGGAGGAAAGTTATTGCTTTTTTTTTTTGCATGAGGATGTGGTTATGCAGTAAAATTCTAAATCTCATTTACCTCTTGTGTAACTGGATTACAGAGGAAAATATTAGCATGAGTAATTTGCTTCCTAATATGCAACTCCCTCATTTTGAGCCTTCTAACAATACAATAGATTTTGGTCCAAAATAATAATTGGTAAAGTCTATGGCTAAACCAGCCAATTCATTTAACTTATGCTTATTATTTATCTGAACCGAAGGTGACTATCAACCCCAGGCAAAAAGCCCTACTAATTTTAATTCAGCAGCTAAGTTAAAGCTAATATCTCAGAGGCAGAACCATGCACAAAAAAATATTACATGTAAGATTTATGTTTTAAGAACACAATAGCATATTGACCTACCCCAGAGCATCAGTAGCAAAGGTAGCAGAGAGGATTACAGGAAGATCAGCCTATCTGTGACACTCTTCTAACTGGAACTGATTCAGCAAAACACATTTAGACATTAATCTGGATTCTTTTACATTGGAAGAAAACAGCTATGGCTATTTATGACAGATGTTCTATTTCCATATTGTATTAAGAAAATAGAGTACAGAGACACCCTCTGCTGTGGATATGCAAATAGGCTGGCATCATCCTAGAAAAATATGCAATAATTAATGTAAAGTAATCTTTAATCAAATAATTAAGTATAGCACAAATTGGAGCTAAAAAGATCCACCTCCAGTAAAGAGGTGCAGGATAAGGGGAGTGTATTAAAGAAGGCTGAATAACTAAGGTAGGATGAATAATTCAAGTAGGAAAATCCTGAAGTTGCATAAATCTGATAACTGCTGTTTTCTTCCATTTGTTTCTCTTTTCACACCTGTGGACCTGCTGCACACTGTAGTTTCTTCAAAACGGCTTTTGTGATGGCAAATCAGTGAGCTTCTGTGACACTACAGTTGTATCACATATTCCTTTTTATAGATACCGTATATCAAGAAGATACCGTATAACATTTTTAAAATTGAAAAATCAAAATACGGAACTGCCCAGTTTTATTTTGATGTAAGCATTTTATCAAACTAATGCTTCTCTGAGCAATATCCCAGTGAAGACACTACCATGCATAAGCCTAATCCCTTTTCATAGAAACATTCAGGTTGGAGAAGACCTTTAAGATCATCAAGCCCAACCTTTAGTCCACCACTGGACTGTGTCAGATCTACACGTCTTTTAAATACCTTCAGGGATGGTGACTCCACTACTTTCCTGGGCAGTCTGTTCCAGTGCTTGACAACCCTTTTGGTGCAAATATTTTTTCTAATATACAATCTAAACCTCCCCTAGTGCAACTTGAGACTGTTTCCTCTTCTCCTATCACTTGTTTCTTGGGAGAAGAGGCATTTCCCCACCACCACCATTTGAGCAAGTAAAAAATTCAGATTTGCTGTAGAAGCCAAGTCAATTTCTTTTGTTTCAAGTAGGATTGTGTTTACATCAAATCACATTTTACAGTTATTTTGAATGTCTTGATACATTTTGTAATGCACCTGATCTAATGCACAGCGTGTATACAGTACCTAAACATTCATAGCACCTGATTTAGTTAGTATTCAGCTTCTCTTTGTTTATTGCACATTTCTCTCTTGCCACAATTTTTAAACTTCTTTTCATGGAAATTCTTAGTCTCTCTTTTCTACTTCCTTCTACAATATAATACCATCTTTCTCACAGGGAAGATTACCCTGTTAGGCTGGTTGTAGTGAAAACATACATCATGCCTAGGACATGTTTGTGTTAGAGCTCTGCCTCATCCTTTTTTAAGTATGTGCAGCTTCAGTTAAGTTTTGACAGTAAGTTCACCTCCAGTGCTTCAGTCTCAGACTCTTCTAGCAGGCCCATTTCCAGTGGATATCAGGGATGATACAGTGGGTGAGATCTCATGGTAACTAATATAACTATGTCTCCTGTTATTCATAAATCCCACTTTACCTAGGTTCTCTTGATTGGCATAAGAAGTGTCCAAGTGTCCTTAAAGTGAAGGAACATCAGCAAAGTGGAGATTATGATGGTGTTTGTCAGTTAATAGCCAGCTACTACATACAGTAAGATACTGCTCCACATACAGGTTTTATCACCAGATGGAGAAGAAAAAAATAAATCTGTTACTGCCTATACTGCTGCTAGGTAAAAACATTGCTTTTGACTCCAGCAGCTGCAGATTTAAAGGCAGCCACAATGACATTAAGGATGACAGCTATTCAGCCACACAGGAACACGTTTTCATGAATAAGGTGCCCAGAATTTGTTCTAGTGTATCGTTTTCCCTATGCTTATTTCAAATACTTTCCCTTTTTCCTCCTTTTTGACAGCGGTGACTTACAGTAGCTAAATAAGGGACATGTTTTGCATAATGAGAAGGCAAAAGAGATTAACTCTAGGTTGTCTTTGCCTACTGAAATATTTTGCCAAGTCCCATTTCAAGGAGTCTTTAAATCTTCTTAACGTTATGACTTTGAAGGAATACTTTCCTGTTGCATAAGCAGAAAATGCTTCTGATAATTGCAAAGGAAGGTTTAAGAACAGCGTTCAGGTCATGACCACTCCCAGATATATCTTCAGATGAGTATGAGTTGGAAATTTAACTTGTAGTTTTCCATGAGTTACATTGCCAACTGTCAGTGATTTGAAAGGATTCAGGATCCAGTTAAAGCAAATAGCTCTGATACTGCTTTAAAGAATTTCTCAGTGACTGTTTGCAACTTACCGTATTTCTTACATTACTTCTGGATAGGAAATGAAATGCTGGAAGTGATATATTTTTTATAAGTTTTTTAAAAAGCTGTTGTTTAAATATTTTCAAGTATGTATATACTCAAAAATCTGAATAGATTATATTTTTTTTGTGAATATTGCAGAAATATCAAATCTCATGTTTTAGAAGGAAATGATTCTTCTGGAGTCTTCTTGCTATCTTCCTGCTAAGTTTGAGCAGAGAAGCCTCATTTCTGCATCAAAGTCCGTTCAGGTAAGTGGCTGTGATTGTGTTGGTGTCCAGTATATTGTCATATTCTGCAACATTTTGGTATGTGGCATTGCAAGATGAGACCTTAAAAAACTCTCCATCATACCTATCCTGAGTTGCACTCTCTTGTTAGAAATATAATTAAAAAGTAAGTGGAAGGAACAAACCACATCAAGATTCCAGAGGAATGAAGAGACAGCTGCTTTCTGTGCTATTTTCTCTATTTGACAAAAATAAAGCGACCCCATTCCTACAGTAAATTTTATATAGAATGCTTTTCTCTCTGCTTAGTCATTCTGCCTGTAAGTTTTTGAATAACCAAACGGGATATAAAAAGAAGTAACTCCAGATCACTTACCACACACTATAGTGTTAATATAAAGTATCTTGTTAGATTACCATCTGGTGAAGGTAAGCATTTGTAAAGCACTACATTTGTTTATTCCCAAAGAAATACAGAAAACCTCTCTATATGCTCAGTTTATTAAAAATGGGGGGGGGTTCCTAGTTAGCAAGAAAATTGAACAAATAAATTGTTGATATCACGGTGGAGTTGTTCATCTGTACAGTGACAGGAAAACCAGACAAAATAATCCAAACTTTTGACAGATAATGACAAAGAACAACAAATCTGGTAAACATTTTACCATAAAAGGGACAATATGTACAAAAATAAGCTTTTAGAATTTATTTAAAGCTAAAGGGGGGAAGAAACGCTAACACTGTTCAGGCAGTTCATGTGATTTATTTAAAGAGGAAGTGTGCCATAAAGAAGGCAGTAGAAACAGTGGTAAGCCATCCAAACTAAAAGTGAAAAAAAAAAAAAAAAAAAAAAAAAAAGCCTGGTTTAAAATTTATAAGAACTCGAGATTCTCCCCTGCCATTTTCTAGCGCGATGCGGCTGTTGATGGGCGAAGGCGCCAGGCGCGCTGGTACCCACGGGGACGTGAGGCCGCCAGTGACTCCCGCACTGCCACCAAGCGGCGGCGGCGGGAGGAGCGCTCTGCGCCAGTCGCGGTTTTAAACGAAAAACTACTAAAAAATTCGCATTCTGGGAACTGGTTAAGCACGGTTTTTCTTACTAGTAAAACATTAACCGTCATAGACCGCAGTATGGTAATTCTCACTGCAAAAGTATTTTTCCAGTGTTGAAAAACTTCAAGTTACTAGAACAATATAATTACACTGCTAGAAGTATTTAGGACAGTTGCACCTTCCGTGGTAATGGTGTACTGAGGTTTGCAGACAATATGAAGATATCCAGATTTGTTCCACAGATAAGCTGCTTAGAGGCTGCTTCTTTATTCAGTGCTTGCTGGCTCAGACGACCACTTCTGAAGTGCTCATTTGTTCATGTCTCTGTCAAATGTTTAAATTACTTACCAATTATCTTAAATTAAATCATGGTGGTTTAATGGTAGGACATACTCTGTCCTAGGAGAACTGCATTAACCAGTTCGAGCATTATGCTCCACACACTCACTACCAGCTTTACTCTCACAGAAGATAAGGCATAAGTGCATCTTATTTTTACTTCCAAAACAATGCTCTCAGAAATTAGACAATGCAAGATTTCATACTGACATTACATGATTGAAAGCTTTAGGAAATACATATATTCCACTTTCACTCATATGAAAATGGGTGATGGCAACTAAAGGGAAGGCAAGAGATAGTGAAAAAATAACAAAATACAGATACTTTAATGTAACTGTTTAGGGATGGCTTGGGCAATGGTAGACAAAACCAAAATGACCTTTTAAAATAGTTAATATTTACCCATTTAAGTAGTGGCAATATGAAAGATTCATCTCTTTGGGATGCAAAATTTACCCCTTATTTTGGGAGAGAACACAGGCTATTAAGAGTATAGGTTGATTTTTGAAAATTCAATTCCTGCAACTTGTTTCAGCTAGCAAGTAGTGTGACACATAGTTGCGAGACATTCTATAATATTTAAAAGCTGTCAGTTGCAAAAGTAATTTTTAAATATTAATTTTAAAGTGTTAAAAAACTATATTTCATAATTAAAATTGTTCCTGATTTTTAAGTTTTTATATAAGCATGCTAAAAATACCTAGAACTGTAACTACACAGCTTCTATTTACTATCAGTCTTATGATTAACACTTTTTCTTAATTTTATCGAGAAATAGAGCTTTGTTCCTTCAGCAAAGACCACTATTCCTATACAAGTTTTGCATCCCTTAATACTGATTAGCGTGATCTTTGTGCTGTTCTTGCTTTCAGGTTCCATACTAAGCAGTACAAGATGAGGAGAGGCACTGCCACAGAACTAATCAGAGTATAGCTGAACACAGCCTTAGTGCCTGCACCACTTGAAACCACGTGTTAGCCTCAGGACATGAGAGATGTGCTTCAGCACTACAGAGCCTGCCACTAGGTTCACACTGACAGGTATCTTCAGGCAGAGGAAATGGGGCTGCTATTCAAAAGCTAGTCAGCAAAAGTGAAGTGGCATGGGTTGGAATTAAAAAAAGATAAAGTTGTATTGCAGGGCTGTCAAAAATTCATTTCCCTACTGGGAGGGATGAATTAGTGGATTTCACAGCAAGTGCCCACAATTTCATTGCTACTTAACATATTAGCAAGGTCATGTTCTGTCCCTACAATAGATAAAAAGACATTGAATTGTATCAACAGCTGAATTGGAATCTGAAGTACTCTTTAAAATTTGCAGATGGCAACAGTGAGCTGAAAATCTACTTCAAGCATTTTGTGATGAATGTTTTAAGAACTAGACAAGCACTTTTTTTTTCATACAGAAAACATTTTCCTCATCATTACTTACATGAAATCTGGTCATTGTGGAGAGTTTGCTTCTGCAATACCTTACATACATTTTGTACTCTTGGAATTGTAGATGCTTGATAAAGTCTTTACCTTTATTATCACATTCCCCTTACATTTATTGTAAAATTATTTTGAATAAAAGTAACCATTAGCATGTCAGATTGTAGGAAGTGTTCTATAGCTAGCAGTTATCCTTTAGAGATCAATTGTGATCTCAGTTTAAGACTCCCAAGTAAATTCCTAATCAAGACAGTGTCCAAACAGACATTGCTAATGGGACTGGGAAATAAAGGACTTAGGCAGGAGGGGGAAAAAAAAGGCAGTTCCCTCCTAGCCAGTGCCATGGTCCCTTGCACCAACAGCCATGGTGGGCTTAATCCAGGGAGCAGGGACATCAGAGAACAGGCATGATCTCCACAAAGCTGCCTCTCCAACAGGCCTTTTATAAGTAATACTGTAAGGCCACATAATTTTGATTTAAAACTGGTGCTTACCAACAACGGTAGGAGTTGGTGAGAACTGGAACAGGGTGTGCCAGAATGATTCAATGACCGAGCCTGGGAAAGGGCACAGCCTCTTCAGGGTGAGCTAACATGAAAGCTTCGTTAGGCATTAAAACAGGATTTCTAAACAAGCTAACAAGTGTTCAACTGTAGACCAGTTAAAATTTCCATAGAAAATAAAAATAAAACTTGCTAACAGTTTGCCTGCAGGACTTCTGGAGTCAGTTTTCAGTATACACTGAGGTTCTCCAAGTTCTTTGCAGAATAAAAGCAGTGATTCATTCAAGAAGCTCTACTGATTGCACAACATTTCCTATCTAGGATTTAAGGAGGTTGTGTACACTGGCAGAGCATGAGGATGAATTAAGCCTTTCTTTGTTTTTAATCTGAGTCTTTTCATAGCTATGTTTAGTATAACCTAAATGCACTTTCAAAAGTTAATAAATTGACTTTCCCTCTGCATTTTTTTCAATAGCAAAACTCATTTCAGAGTGACACAGTACTATCACTCTCAGTGTTGTCAAGCTCACAACCAAACACACCTCTCTCTTCTGAACTGTGCACATATGATGCTCATTACTGCAAAACTGCCATGAAGTAGAAATGTATTCAGTTATAACAAAATGCTAGGAAGTGATACCCTGAATTTCAACATCTGAGAAGGGCTGGTTTGGGCTGTTGTTTTGAGTTTGATTTGTGTTTGGCTTTTTTCAAAAGAAGCAGGTACTAGTTTATGCAGTAATAAAGACAGGCATTTGATATTGCTATTTATTTCTTTCTAAAAATTAGACAATTCTCAATGTAATATTCTAGCAACATGCTACTAAGCGCTCTGTACATTCCTTTCTTCAGAATAATTCTAACTAGATCTTGGCAAGGATAAACCAAGTAAGAATTACTTTAATAGTACCAACCAGAATTAAACCAGTGGAGAAATACTCCCCTGAATCTGACATTGCATTTATGTGAAATTGCTATATTGTCTTAAATAACTGTTGAAATACAAATATTTAATTTCTCTATTAGAAACATTGTATGTATATTTTTTCACCTTATTCAGAATAATAAAATAAAAATTTCCATGGGCATTAAGGGGAGTTTCAATGAGGGTTCATATGGCAGGCTTTAAAATAGTGCCTGAACCAGTTCTTCCACAGAGTTCTTCATTAAAATCTACACAGTTTCAATAACTATTTTCGGCAGTGCAAATTATGTGTCCTCCAAAAAGTTTTAATGAAAACTATTTTAATTAAAACTAGTTTGACAGCCTGCATATACAAAGTCAAACCACAGGATACTAAATACTTTAGGAAATTTGCCTGCATATCTACAAATAAAACTTCCCTCCAACATCCAATGGAGCAGAAACAATTGTGGTAGCAATTAAAAGATTTTAAGTTGTCAGATTCAAGGTCACTAGTTAAATTATTCAGTCATTTTTACTTCTAGCAAAGACAATCTCTTACAGGCATCTATAGTTTTATATGTTGTTTCCTAAATTGTTTAAAAGCACACTCTTATATTCTCTATTTTACAGTGTTGTGCTTTTTTACTTATCCATCTGTACCAATTTTTAGCTGAAAGTTATTGTTCAATTTGTACAAATCACCCATAATTTAAACTGTATAATTACATTTCATGTAATCTCACAATTTCATTGGGTAATTAAGTGATTCTCTACAACTTTTTTATCAAAAAAAAGCAATATACAATTAATAAATCCCTGTAGGATTTTCCCCCCTCACGAGCACTGACACTACATATTTAAATACATTGAACCGAATCCTTGGGCATGTCTGATGAGTTGTGCAGAAATCAGACATGCATGCAAAATGGCTCCAAGCTGACCTGTCACAAAGGGCTGGATCCTAGTGCAGGGCTATATCCTCATCACAGAGAGAGGAAAAATAAAGTGTGAATGTCTAAGTTACATCAGCTATACAGATACAGTGGACCTTCACGCAGAAGGAAAGCCCAGTAGTATGTCCTCTTACTTAAATTCTCCAGCATTTACTGTGGTATTTTAGGAGCACATATGGAAACGGTATAGGGAAGTCTATAGCACCAGAGGATTATTCTTAAAATCCTCTCTGGGCAAATTACACTGAATTTAGGGCCAGTTTAGGGGCTGGTATTTTAATTTTCAGTAGCTATACTATTCTAGAGGATCTAGCCCATATCATCATAGTGCAAATGTAACATCTTGTATGGATACCTTCTGGTAACAATCAAACAACATATCTTTAACAAACAGAGGTACAGTTTGTTAGTGAGGTGTGGTACATGTGGTACACCTTTTTTCACAGCTGAGCCATCCACTTTTCAGAAAACATTTTTAAAATACCATTTCCTTTGATAATATTAAAAGTAGATGATATGACTTTTTCGTTTTTAAATTAATAAAGTACAGTACAAACTGACTTTTCCCAAGTCAATTCAGTTTAAAATGAGCTGAAAAAAGTTACAATGTTTAATGAAAAATTCAGAATAGTACCTAGTTCACAAACATTTTTTTGTAATGAGAAAACTTTGTGACCAAAAAAATAACCACATCTTCAAGTGATTTACAGACAGTATTTTAGATGCCACTATCACCTGAAGTTCTGATGTTCTTGCACTGCCAGAACAGTGTCCTACTGATGATCAACATTCATCTTCTTCATGTGATGAAGCAGGGCATCTTTTTCCATTTGGACCTCAGCAAGAGCCAGTTTGGCTTTGGCTAGTTCCCGTTTGAGACATTCATTTTCTTCAATAAGCTAAAATGATCGGTTGAGAAGACAAAGCTATTAGTATTCCTGCATACTGACAACTTTTTCCATTACAGTAACTTTAAAATACTATATGCTCACAATCATTCCTGGGCAGAGGCTTGCTGGGACTGAGTCAATTGCAACTGATTCCCAGTTAATGAGTGTAGAACACAAGAGAGAGCTGATGCAATTAGCTCAAAAGGCAGGATAGCCAGTGTTTTAGCTATGCCATTTCTATTCTGGAGTGGAGTGGAAATGACCCCAGGTTCTGAGCTCCAGGAACGGATTCTTACGCAGTAGAAAAAACCAAATTGATGTGTGGATGTGTTCTGTCCTCATCGATTCAAAACCCAGGTATGATTGCTAGATTAGTAAGGGTCTGACTAAACAGTCTAGTCCCATGTGTTTGTACAGAGATGTGTTGTGTTGTACAAGGATGAGGGAGATGGGGAGAAGAAAACTCCCTTATAAGATTTCCTCTGATGTAAAGGAAAAGAATCAGTGTGCAGTGTATTACTACCCTATTTAGAAAGCAGTATTAAATTGCTGAGCCATACTATAATATCCGTGATCCATATTTTCCATCTCAAACAGATTTCTAAACAGAAGTATATCCCACCCCCAGATAACCTAACAATTATGATGATTAAGGATTGTAACATAATTTTGAGGGGGCAGGGGGAAGTAAAAATCAATTCTAAATACCTCATTTTTAAGGAAGTCAGCTGAATCTCTGCTTGATTTAGAAGGTCTGGGAATTTCACAAGTAATCTGTGTGGCTTGGTCCTTTGTTTTACGTCCAACAGGTTCCACTGCTTGCTGCAATGCACTACTTGAATTCATCTTTGACACATCATTTACTTTTTGATTATCTGTATCACAGAAATAGTGCATAGGGGTTTTGTCAAAATTTTTTAAAGGTTGGTTCTTATCAGTACAAAATTAAAAGCATCTCAAAGAAATATACTTATGATATTAAGTACTTTTATATTAGCCTCTCAAAATCAAATTTAAGAATAAAAAAAAAATTAAAACTCATAACCTTTTAGAGAAAAGGAGGGAAGGAGCAATATGTAACTTCCAGCCTGAAGGAAATAAACACATTTTTATACTGACCAATAGCATCACCACAGAATATTCACTCTGAATAATGAAAAGTTTGAGAACCATTAATATTGCTATTAATATACTGTCTACAGGTTTCTCTGAAGACTGTATTTACATTTGAAGACACAGTGAGATAAACCTGCTGGATCAAGTTTTTAAATTAGATAATACCTTTAATTACTTGACATTAAAGAAGCTTTCTAGCATTTGTAACTGAAGTGCACTATAATATCTATTAAAATATACTGTTGTACACCAAGAGGAAAAGTGAGAGTCATGGTTCTCAGTAGTCTAAAAAATACTCTGTGACTGTTTTGTTTTTTAAACATTTCCTTCTAAACAAGAGTTTTCTGTTCATTACCCCCTCCTCTCACCACACACACTGAGGACTCAAAAAATGTAGCACTACAAACATGTATCGCTGATGTGCAGATGGCATTTAACCTATGCCTTTGAAGTCACTGTACCTGAGCAATCCAAGACATGTATAGGGATCAAAGCACTTCAGCAAAAAGGGAAAAAAATACAAGCTGAAAGAAACCTTAAAACTATTTTCTATCTTACTAAACTTTCAATGTTTAGTATAAAAAGATGACCAAAATACATTGTACATCTTTAAGAACTCACACAATGTATTAGATAACGTGCAAAAATTAAAATACAAGCAAATCATGCCACAGCACACCTCTGAGAAGTCTGGTTCATCCTTGATATATCTTCCCATCAGGTGGATGAAGGGGGCATTAAGATCACCCTGCAGCCTCTCAAGTCATCCAATCTCAGCCTTCCTCAAGTCATGCAATACATTGCATATTGCTGGATTAACATATTCGGGACCTGGATGAAAGGGTGGGTGCACTCTGCAGTTTTGTGAACTCCACCAAATTGAAGGGTAGGTGACTGACACACTGATGGGCAAAGCTGTTTTTCAGAGGAACCTGGACAGGCTGGAGAGATGGACTAACTGGAGCCTCATGAAGTTGAGCTGAAGCTAGTGTGAAGTCCTGCAGTTGAGAGTCAATAACCTCTTGCTCTGCTATAGGTTGGGAACCAATTGAACAGAAAGCAAAATTGCACAAAATGACCTGTAGGCATTGGTCAACAAGCTTTATCATGAGTCAGCAGTGAGCTCTGACAGCAGAAACCAGGGACATTGCAGGCTGTACTAGCAAGGGTATAGATAGCAAGATGAGGGAAGTTATTATTCCCCAATACTCACACCGGTGAGACCACATCTGGAATACTGGATCCAGTTTTGGATTCCCTAGTGTGAGAAAGTATAGATACTGACAGCAGAGGACCACCAAGAGAATTGTGGCCAAGAGCACATGATGTACAAATGAGGGATCCAGCAACATGCACTCGTGAAATCTGAAGAAAAGACTGTGGAGTGATCTTAATGCCACCTTTGCCTGCCTAGTGAAAGGGTATAGAGAAGATGGACCAGATGTCCCTGAGGTGCTTGGCAAGTGCTCAAGCACCTCTGTCTGAGAGGGTAGACAGGAGGCAATAGACACAAGCTGCAACAAAGGAAATTCCAATTACACAACACCAAAAAAAAAATAACCATAAGAGTGGCAAACACTGGGACAGATTACTTAT